CTTACTGTGTAACTTTGTGAAGGAGCTGTAACGTAGCCAATGAGGTTTAGCTGAGGTACTATTATTGCTAATTGAGAAACTGCTTATATTAAAATGCTTAAGCAAGCATTTTTCAGTTTTAATGTAAAGTACAGAACCTACACAGAGAAAACCTCTTCGTTGTCCTTCATCATCTTTTAAGCCAAGACGCAGTTTCTTAGAACAATTTTGGGTTTACAGAAAAGTTGAAATAAAAATCTAGTTCCATTCATCCCTTTGACCTTGTTTTAGCTATTACTAAGGTCTTTCACTAGTGTGGTGTGTTTGAACAGTTACCATAATACCCATACAATTATTTTATCAATGTTTTATGAATGAAATATGGATACTGACACATTATAATTAATAGTTACCTAATATATGGTGCATTACTATTAAGTAAAGCCCACACTTTTGTCAGATTTCCTCATTTTTTTCCTTACACAGGATTAATATTAATTATTAGAAATGCTTGGGATCAGAAGTATTTCTGATTATTTTTTCTTTTTCCATGTTTTCATGTGTGAGTGTATGCATGCTTTTGCCTGTATGTGGGTGCACATTTGTGTGAGCGCTCATGCACGTGTGTGTGCATGCATATGGAGGTCTGAGACTGGTATCTGGAATCCTCTTCCATTGCTCTTCCACCTTATTCACTGAAGCAGGGTGTCTCAGTCGAACCCAGAGCTTGCTGATCCAGCTAGTCTCCCTGGCCACCTTGCCCTGAGGATTCCTGGTCTCTGCCTTCAGAGGCTGGAATTACAGGCAGATTGCCACTCCCACCTGGCATTTATGTGGGTTCTGGGTATCTGAACTCCCATTTTCACATTTGCATAGCAAGTGCTTATCTGCTGAGCCACCGCCTCAGACCCTGTTTCAGATTTTGCCCCATATCCAAACTTTTCTAAAGGCCTACATGATGCTATAGGCAGAGATTTCACACATGACCTTAGGGACAAGCTTCAAAGAAAACTCAGATTTTCAGGTTTTGGATTATCAGTGCAGGTATCCTGTGATTTTGACTCCAGTTTAAACACAAAATTCAGTTATGCCTCATATATACTCCCTACACAGTCAATTTTTGTTTTGTGTTGTTTAGACAAAGGGTCCTGGCATGTAGCCCAGACTTACCTTCAGCTTTCAGCACCCCTGCCTCAGCCTCATGAATGCTGGCATCTCAGACGTGGGCCACTACATCCAGCTTCTAGTACGCTAGGGCCCTTGGGTTTTCACTGTGCTTTTGCAGAGGGCTGAAGTTCAGTTCCCACAGGGAGCTAACAACCACCCTTAACTCCCATTCCAGGGGCTCCACCACCTTCTTTTGGCCTCTGGGGGCATTTCATGACACAGGTGTACTAATGTACACACAGGCAAAATGCTCATAAGCATAAAATAAAAATAAATAAGTAAATAAATACTTTTACATTAAAAACGATGGGTTTCGCTCTTTCCTTTAGGCCACTGCCATGCCATCCTATTGAGGAAGATCCCAAAGCTCTAGGGCCATGTGAGTCACGGGCACAGTCACTCACCTAGGATGGCTGGGTGATGCTGGTAGCACGAGTCACTACAGGATCAGCTTAGATATATATCATTCGGATTACTCTGGGAAAATTCGCATGAGGTATTACCACTTAAAGAGGAAACAGAGCTGCTGCCTAATGGTCAACCTTGATAAGTTGTGGACATCGATCAGTAACAAACATAAGTAAATGCTTCCATAAACAAGAATGGGACTGCGCTCATCATTGACATGGTATGACTGGGCTACTACAAAGTTCTGGGAACAGGAAAGCTCCATAAGCAGCCTGGCATCATGAAGGCCAAAGCTGAAGGGAAGACTGAGGGTGTGGGTGGTGCCTGTGTCCTGTTGGCTTGAAGCCACACAGGGAGGTTCATTAAATGCTAACAAATTCTTCTTAAAAATGATGGGTTTCATCATGACATCATCTGCTTTGCTCACATTCACCGTTAACATCTCCTGTTCTCCTTCCTTTCCTGACTCACATAGTCTCCATTCTATTTTCATGTCTTCTTTTTATGTTTTTAAATCAACATTTCACAAATGAGAGTAAACATGATGTCCAAGCCTGGCTTAATTCACTTAAAACCATTTCCTTAGCTGAGGCCTTGTTGGCAGTTAATAGCTGCTGGGGGAGGGAGAGTCAGTTTTATTCTGGGATGCAGCCTCTGATAGGCTGCCTATGCTCCAGTGAATGATCCTACACTCATGCATATAGGGCAGCACTAGACTCAGTGGGTTAAGAAAAAAAGAGGACATGGGGCTGGAGAGATGGCTCAGCAGTTAAGAGCACTGGCTGCTCTTGCAGAGGACCCGGGTTTGATTCCTAGCACCTACATGGTGGCTAACAACCATCCGTAACTACAGGTCTAGGGGATCTGACACCCTCTTCTGACCTCTGAGGGTATTGCATGACACAGGTGCACTTATACATGCAGGTAATACACTCAATACAGAAAGAAACAAAAATAATAAAAATAATAAAATGTTTTTTAAAAGAGGACATGAAGTTGGGAGGGAGACCTAGTAGGGGAAGTTTGGGAAGATTTGGAGGGAGGAGTGGGAGAGTCATCATCAGAATACATATATATATATATTATATATTTGAAATTGATGATTTCCAGTTCTATCCATTTTCCTGTAAATGCCATAATTTTCCGTCTTTGCAGTTGAGTAAAATTCCATGGAGTGTATGCACCACATCTTTTTTTTTTTTTTTTGAGACAGGGTCTCCCTGTAGTCCCAGCTGGCCTGAGACTGCGTATGTAGACCAGGCTGGCCTGTAAGATCTACCTGCCTCTACAGCCCAAGTGTTGGGTTAAATGCATGCATTACGATGCTTGGTCACTGCACCTGGCCACACCTTTTAAAAATCCATTCATCTGTTGGAGTTCTAGGTTGATTCCATGCTTTGGCTGTGATTAGTGCTGCTGTACACAGGTTTCTGTTATGCTCCTTTGAGTATTTTTCTCCAGTTGCATAGTAGGGTTGCATATAGGTTGTATAGTAGTTCTGTTTCCATTCTGATGTTCACAGTGGCTGTACTAATTTACTTTCCCACAAACACAGTATAAAGGTCTCATTTCCCCTTTACCACTCCAGAAAGTTTTGATGTTTTTTTTTGATGATAGCTACACTGACTAGAGAGAGCTGGAATCAAGGTGCAGTTTTGATTCTGCATCAGAATTTTAATAATAATATTATTATTATTATTTTGACAGGGTCTCCCTAGTCCCAGCCTGCCTGGCACTCACTATGTGGACCTGGCTGGTCTCAATCTCACAGTGATCCACCTGCCTCTGCCTCCCGAGGACTGGGATTAAAGGTGCATGTCACCATGCCCAGCTATTAATTTTATTTTATGTGTATGTATATTGCCTTCACGTATGTAAGTGTACCACCGGTGTCATGCAATGCCCATGGAGGTCAGAAGAGGGTGTCAGATCCCCTGGAACTGGAGTTGTGGACAGTTGTTAGCCACTATGTGGATGCTGGAAACTGAACTTGGGTCCTCTGCAAGAGCCATCTCTCCAGCCCCAAACATCAGAATTTTAAAAGGCTCTCCAGGTGTTTGTAAGATACAGCTAAATTTCAGACCATTCTATTAAGAGTGTATTCTAGGACTAGCAGGAGGGCTGTGTGAACAAAGGGTTGGAACTGGAGGGCTGCTCTTCAGCTATGCCCCTTGAGGGGTCACCAAATCTGTCTGAGGGCTTGTCCCCTTGTCTGCCAATACTGTGGTAATGTCTACTCCTTAGGGTTAGGCAAACCACATTGAGTAAGGGAGCTTGTCTAGTTCAGGAGGTTGCCACCAACAATTGCTCAATAACAGTAATGAACATTTGAGTTAAAAATATTAATATTTAAGTCAAATGTTCAGACCCCAATCTTATCCAAAGGAATGACAACTGATTACCACTAGATGAGGAACAGCTGACCTTCCTAAAACAAAGACCTCTAGATAGGCTGACTAGATTCACCAGAAGGGCAAGTAGTGGGGAATGGCTGGGGGTGCCAACAACACAGCAGACAGTAGCAGGGATGTCAGAGTATAAGGGCTCTAGTTGGGGGAGGGAAGCTATGGGAGGGTGCCATCTGGGAAGTGGGTGTAAAAATTAAATTAAAAAATATTAATATGTGTGTGTGTGGTGTTGATGGGCGTGCCAAGGCTCTCATGTGGAAGTCTGAAGACAGCTTTATAGAGGTTGGTTCTCTCCTTCCACCTTTACGTGGTTGTAAGCCTGGGCTCTGTCGTTTGCCTTTATTGACGTTTTGATTCTTGTGCTGGGTTCCGTGCTGAGTTCTTTCAGAATTAATGTGCTGGAAGCAACCAAGTCAGTGTCACCTGAGAGGAAACACAGCTCCACATTACCCTGTGTACCTTTCAGACAGCAAAGAGAACTATTAATTACAACTTTAACAGCAATTATGAAAGGCTCCCGTTTGCACAGTGCCTCACGCTGAAGAGAGCACTTCCACGCTCACGCGTGCTCAAGTGTGCTCAGCTGTAATTCTCTCCGGGGTCAGGCGAGTCACCTCCCTCGATCAGGCAGGAGGCCTGGCACAGAGAGGGAGAGCGGCGGGGCCCCAAGGCACACAGCAGTCAGGAGGGGCATCCCGAGGGAGGAGCTGACCAGCGAGCCACGCGGGGACTCGTGTCACCAGACGCTCGCGCCTTCTCCAAGCTCACACCGAGGATGTGTGCGCCGGCCCCGCGGTGATAGCGCTCGATCCCGGCGAGTCCCTCGGGGCCTCACGGGCCTCTGGAGGGGAAAGGGGCGTGCTCGGAGGCGAGGCTCGGCGCAGGGGCGGAGGCTGCGCGGGAGAGGCCGGTCACCCCGCCCGCCCGGCGTCCCCCCGCTCCCGCGCGGCTGCGGCAGGGGGACATCCCCGAGGGGGTCCCGCCCCGGCCCGCGCCCCCCGCTCCCACGTGAGCGCACCACCAGCCCGCATCCCGCCCGCTGCACAGCTTGGCGCAGGTGCCTTGGTCGTCTGGTTCCCAACGCAAACGCTGCGCCGGTCCCCGGCGGGTCCCCGTGGCCCTCGGCCGGGCGCTTCGCCGGCTCCGGCTCCGGTATCCGGGCGCAGTGCCCAGGGCGAGGCGGGAAGACAGCCCCGCCTCCCGGACGCTGGTGAGTGTGGACACTTGGCCGCGCGCGGGGCTGGGCCGGGATCCCAGGGTCGGGGGCGTGTGCCCAGGTCTCCACTTTTCCATTCCCTTGTCAACTTCCCCCTGCCCCTTCAGGGGTGCTGAAATTGCTGTGCTCCAGATCACCCCGGTGAGTTAGTTACCTGCCGCCCCAGTGACCAACCCCCGGGTTTCTCCATCCGATGACCTCAACTTACAGGTGTGTTTCCATCTTTGGACCTGATGGCTTGGCTATTTCCTATAGCCTTGGCTCTTTATTCTGTCAGAGGTTCATAACTCTAGACAAGCCTATTGTGGTTAAGACAGGTCACCATTGCAGTGAAGGTAAATGTGACTGAGAGTGTGTGGGTGGTATATATGAATATGTCTGGTGGTATATATGAATGCAGCAAATGTGTGTGTAAGAATTGTGTACCTGGTGCTGCACACACGGACTTGCATTTCTGGAGGGGTGTGTGACTGTTTGAAGAGTTTGTGCACAGAAATCTTTTTTTGTTTGGATGAGCCTTCTGTCCCAGGACTTTGTTTTGCAGAGTTACCCCGTTCCACATCTTTAGCCAGTGGATGATCAATGTACACTCTGGCCCCTGAGGTCTGTTGGGGGATTTCATAGTTGTTTTCCAGCCTTGCTTTAGCTAGTACCTGGGTACCTGGATAGTGAGTAAAGATTTCTTTTTTTGAGACAGGGTCTCCCTGTAGCCCCAGTTGTTGTAGAACACGCTATGTGGAACAAGCTGGTCTTGATCTCACAGAGAACCACCTGCCTCTGCCTCACAAGTGCTGGGATTAAAGGCGTGTGCTACCATACCTGGCTTAAGATCTTCCTTTTTAAAGAGCTCTTGGTTTCAAAGGTTGTATGTGTACTTGAGCTTTAGGGTCCACAGGGCCTTCCTTTCTTTCTCTTAGCTCCAAGGTGTGCTGGTACATCTCACCACATCTGAGAACTGGGGAGACAAGGATGAAGACACATCCTTGAATCCTTTACCCTGCAGAGACTGGGGATCCTGGAAAGGTGATTTCCTGAGCAGGAAGCTTAATAGGGGCCAAGAGAGGGTCTAGATCTGGAAGAAACTGGCAAAGATAGAGCTCAGGGAGAGTGGGGAATCCCCTGGGGGCCCAAGAAAGACCAGGAAGGCCCAGGTGGAGGTCAAAGGTCCTTAGAAAACCATTTTAAATCAAGTGTTTTAAATGATTAATGTTGTTTTATAAACTTAAATTTAAAATTTCTTCAAGCATGCAAAGAACTGTTTTATTATAGCATTTTTACAAACAAATGATTGTTATTTTTATAAGGTGGGCACAGAAAGACAAATACTGGCTGTTTTCACCTGAACTTGTACAGAGTAAATAGTGATTTTGAGAGCAGAGACAGGTGAGAAAACCTCTGGGGTAACCGTGCGTCTACAGTATCATTTTATAGAGTGGTAATGACTGCTGCAAACACAAACTTTAGTTCCTGGACAATGACACTGCCATTACAGCATATTATAACATTCAGCCCACAGGGAGTGAGGCTTCAGAAAAGGGACTGTTGTGTGGCAGAACGTCTGGCAGTTGTCACTTCTAGTGGAAAATAGTGAACCAAAGGATGATTTAAGATTTTCATGCAGAATGCTGTGGGAAGATGGACTATTCAATACAAAGTGCTGAGAGGTTATCTGCATCTTTAAAAAACTGGCTTACTTTAACAACTTTTA